CAGCAGCGACCTGCTGCGCCACAAGCGCGTCATGCACAGCTGCCCGCCGCCCAAGCGCCGCCCGCGCGGCGGCCGCGGCGGCCGCAGGGGCGTCTGAGCGCCTCGGATCCTCCGATGCGGTCGTTCGCGCGGGCAACACTCCTCGTCTCGAGGAGCCAAACCTTTGCACGCGGCGATGGTTCGGTGCGATGTTTGAGACCGCGGCCCTTCCCGTAGCTTTTCGGACGAGCGCCGTTTCTCGTTCCCTAGCCTTAAAACGCGGAAGTGGTGGTGTGCGAGCTGGTTAAATGAGTCTACGTGAATTCACTTAGCTGGTCCAACGTGGGCATTCGTACGGGCAACATTCCTCGCGCTGGTGGTTCGATGCGTTGTGGTTACACTTGCGACCACGTGAGTTCCCGTATGCGTATGTGGACGTGCGTACGAGCAGCGTTCCTTGGCTGGAATACTCTGGCCTTATTTCGCGGAAGCATCGTTTCCTTGCAGGTGAAATTTCCCTCCCTTCTCAGACATAGATGTTCCTACGAGGAATATTCCTCGATTAGAAGATGTGAGTCTTCCCGCGTAGAAATATTCTTCTGTATGTAGGTTCACTTGAAAACTACGACAAGCTTTCCCGAAGTTTTTCAGAGATAGTCTTTCGTGTAAGCGAAATTCCTCGAAACTCGACGTACTCCTTTGGTGAATGCACGATGTCAGTGGATCCAGTTCTCAAAACGAGGTGTTTTCTCTCTCGGGCGTTCATGTGAACAATACTCTTCATTCAGAGGATCCCAGCCTTCACATGCGGAAGGTGTCTTGCGCGTGCAGTTTAAATGAACCTGTAAGTTTTCGGGCTTGTGTACTCCTGCGAGCAATATTCCTCCTTCAGAACTCCACGCTTAGCACGTGCATTTGTCTTCAACGCGATGTTTAAATGAATCTAGGTGAATTCCAGTTCCTTTTTGGATTTGGATGTTCGTACAAGCAATATTCCTCCTTTAGATGATATAAGCTGTAAAACGTGGAAGTGGGGCTGAGTATGGTACTCGTATGCAGGATAAATGAGGCTACGTGTGTTTTTCGTGCAGTCTATGCACTATAAAAGTTCCTAGTGTAGTCCAGATCTCAAGTTTCGATTGAACGAAATCACCTAGAATAATGCGCAACGTGAACGTGCACTCGTTTCGATTTAGAGCTACGTGGATTCCCTACGTGAATTGTGGGCATATTCAGATTATGCACTTCTCGCCTGTGTGTGCGTAGTTTTCAGGGTGGCCACTTTCTGGAAAAGATAGATATCTTGAAAAAATCAGAAAATTTCATTGCTTTGGAAAAATCAGGATATTTGTTAAAGAATGACTAGTCAAAGCAAGTCACGGATACGTTTGAGATTGTTATGAAACTAGATATTCCTAAAAAAAATAGTGTAGCATTATTTTTTCCTCGATTTGTCTTTGAAGATTTTTCTTGTACTTTGTTACGGCGAAATCAGGGAACCGACAGATAAGTTTCAGTCTTTAATATATTCTTTACATAATGTAAAATACTCAAAATTTTATCAGTGAAATTTTTTTTAAATGGTGTGGAAAAGTGGAAAAAGCATGGTAATTTGTTTTAGGAAATGAGAGGTCGCCCTGTTATTTCACTCACGGTGACGGTTCAATGCGATTCTTTCGCGGAGAAGACGCGCAGTTGGGGAAACGTAGCTCGTGCGACTGCGCACGCACCGCCAGCGCAGAGGCCGCCACTCGCGAGGGGTACACGAATGTTCCTACGGCTCGTCTCCCGATCTGAGAGACTAATTCTAATAAAGTGATGTAGTTAAATCTCGTGAATTTTTGCAATTAGCCCCTTGCGCTATGTGAATTCCTGTAGTTTGTTTGCCATGTGCTGCGTAGACGTACGTTTTTGCATTACTACGCTTTTATAGAGAGATATTCTCTGTTGTGTGACGTGTGAAAGTCTCTCCAGAGAGCGCCAATGAGATGGACGTAAGAGGTCCAGTGTTGGGAAAATGTTTTTTATTCCTCTCATTCAGGCACATATTACCTGTTTTGTGAGGTGTGTACGTTGGTGGGGACTGCTCCAAAGTGAATGAATGTTTCACAGACAGGCTGTGTGATTTCCCTATAATCGCCTTTAAATCTTGGTGGACAGTACTCTTTCAGACAGATTTTCTCCTTTTTGTGGATTGTAGTGTCTGATCCACTGTAGGTTGAAATGTGTTTCTAAGAATATAGTTGTAAAAACAAATTACACAAATTGAAATAATGCTAGAGAAACGAAATTAAGGGGGCCAGTGACAAAAAATCATAAGAGCACTAATGTAGTTACGATATTTAATTTATTTAATGTTTGGCAGACATCTGAAAGTCAATGCAGGGCCAAAAAAATTAGGTGTTATGCCATCCAGTGAGAAAATGAAAAACCTGTAATTCTGGATGGGAAGGGGAAATCGTGATACCCTAAACCCAAATCACTCGAAACTGTGGCTTATGTCTCTCTTTCACTGTCTCCTTTAATGTGTAGTGGTGTGAATAGTACTGAAATCTCGCAGGTCTTTCTTTGCTGAATGAAGCAGCATGAGAGAGTGTTGCGGTGAGAGAACATGGACTGCTAGTGTTGGTGCTTAGGCTCAGAGTTTGATGCTGGACCAGTGGACTTAGCCTTAAGGGGTTCAAAGAATCTTGATTCAAATACAAATTGTGCAGAATATATCGAAATGGTGAAGAGACTGCTGTGTAAGTACTAATACACAAAGTGTTGCAATAATCTTTTGGTCTTCGTTTTAAAGAAGATATTCAGAGTACAAGACATGAGTAATATTAGTACTGGCACGGATAAACTTTGTCATCAACATCATGGAATGTCATCAGGAATGTTGATCTGCATCAAAATATCTTTATAGTATCTTCAGACCCTTTGGTACACAGCAAACACTGCAGTACAGAGGCATTAAGTCCACTGGGCCAAATACATCTAGGTCTTTAATGTACGTTTAACCTCGACCTGGTGTTGGTGATTTGTTTTTTAAACTGCCAACAATACGGTAATAAGGTATAATTTAATTTTTATAACTATGAAAGAGTCTATCACCCTTATCTGTTTAATGTGTGGTCTGGGAAAACGAACTAGAAAAATTAAATTGAGATCAGATCTTCATATTTAAGAAAGAGGCTTACCAAGACTGTGTTTGAAAGACTCTAATATGCAGATTTATGGGGACGACTTAATGTTCTTCATTAATTTTATTGGAGAAAGGATTTTAAAGGGAATTATTTTTTTAAGATTCTGCACAAAATATAAACAAATTTACAATTTCTTGATTTACATTCTCCCCAAATGTAACTTGATGTTCGTTTTTTTATAAGAAGATAAAAAAGCAATATGTTTGCCACTGTGAGAAGGAAAAGGATTGTCAGCATCTGAATCGACATGCTGCAATTCAGACAAGAAATGAAGCAGGCCAGTACTTCTGGTTCACATAATTCCAACGTGAGCTGAGAAAATGTTGATATGACATTTGTGTCATCACAAAGTAAACTGAAAATGAATTTAATCCATATCACATTTTATTTTCTTACCCTTGTTTTCTCTTTTTTAGCTCCTTTTATTGCCCAGTATAGACAAAAGTGTTTCCCTTTAAAGTCTGGTCTCTTCCTATTGTAGCAGGAGGCAAGGAATGGGTATTTGTGTTTGTTCTTTCTTACCTATCAGCAATTCATGTCTTTCAAGATTTATAATAGATTATAAATTGTACTTCATGGGTAATCGTACTTAGAAGCAAGCTATGTCACCGTTTGTTTCAATAAAACTATTGTAAAAGAGGACCAAACAAAGTAAGGGAATTATATTTACTTGTTATTCGCATTTATATATTTTATTATATTATAGCTTCATTAATGTTCATTCAGGAGTTTTAAATACATCCTTTAAGTTTGTATGGAAAGGATTTGTAGATGTGCTACTGGGGTTAAAATATGTCTTTGTTTTCATAAATCTTTGAACGGTAGTGTATAATTGTTTAAAACAAGTGATAGTTAATTTACCTATATGGTGAGCAATTTTGGGGGACTTTAGTTAATGTATTTGGATATTTGGAATAAATGAAGGTGTGTTGAGTTTTTTTCAGATTTTTATTTCATTCTACCTGTTTGATGTATTGCTAATTCTCTTTTCCTTTCCTGTGCTGGAATCAGGTTTGTTTTTTATTATTCATTTTTATACATTTCTTAACAATGTCGTGCTTTAAAAAAATGCATATCCTATGTAAATAAAAGTTTCATTAAAATTGGCACTTATGTCATAATTTAGTGCATAATGCTCTATGTGTAAAAAATGTTTCATCTCGTTTACAGAGTTTTTGAAAGGGTCATGATTTCACTTAAAATGATGTGAAAACTCGACCCAAAACAACTGGACAAGAATCAAGATGGGCAAACCAGTATATGCGTATGGTACTGGTCCGAGGCAGGAATAAGAGTAATGGGTAATGAAAACGTAGGCTTCCTCAGCAAATGCTGAAAAATTTTAAAAATAAGCATCAGCATTTCGTTACACTAAACGGTGACTCCCTACTCCAATGTAACGCAGCATAATGCTGCCTTCAGCCTTATGTCATTTATGGACGACCCTTAATTCGACTTTCAGAGGCAGGTCCTGTTTGAAAGGCGCGCTTATGGGTGGTTGCTTTCATGTGGTTAATTCTTATTCCATCCTTCACAAATACGTGGCAAGATATAACAATGAGGCGTTTCGTTCATTCTTACCCAATGTTAATTGTCAAGTTGGTATCCTGGAAACGTTTGACACGCTCATCGCCGTTCCTCTTAGAGCAGAGCGCAGAGTCTACTTTCAAAAGATTTTTAGAGTATTTCTTTATATCAGTTATTGTTAATTGTAATTTTTTTAATTTATATCAGCGTTGTGGTTATATATAGACATTCATAGCGCCTTTTTAAACAATTTTAAAAGTATATTTTTTAAGTTTTGTTATACTTTAACATAACGCCAATAGAATGCGCGAGTGTATCTCTGTGCACGTGGGCCAAGGCGGATGCCAGATCGGCAACGCTTGCTGGGAATTGTATTGCCTGGAGCACGGCATCCAGCCCGACGGGCAAATGCCGTCCGACAAATGCCTGGGCGGCGGCGACGACTCCTTCAACACCTTCTTCAGCGAGACGGGGGCAGGCAAGCACGTGCCCCGGGCTGGTGTTTGTTGGACCTGGAGCGACGCGTGGGACGAAGTGCGCACAGGCCACGTACGCGCCTCTTCACGGAGTCGTATCTGGGAGGAAGACGCGGCAAATACGCCGCGGCACTACAACCATCGCAAGGAGATGTGGACTTGGTGCTGGACGCAGCATCCGCAACTCGCTTGACAGTGCACGGGGCTCAGGGATTCCTCATCTCTTCATTCCTTCGGCGGGAGGCACGGCTGCGGGGTTTGTTCTTTTGCTCATGGAGCGTATTGGTCGTAGACATACGGCAAGAAGAGCAAGCTCGAATTTGGCTATTTATCAGCGCTCAGATATCCACTTCTGTTGTTGAGCCGTTATGCAGTTCTTACTACGCACAGACTTTGGACACTCAGACTGCGCTTCATGTGGTAGACACGAGGCATTACGACATCTTGTCGTCGGTAATTCCTTGGACTTGGAACGCCCACGTATACCAACTGAATCGTTAATTGCGCAAGAATTGTCTCCTCCATTACTGCCTCGCTCCGCTTTTGATGGCGCTCTCAATGTAGACCTGACTGAGTTCGCAAACCAATTTGGTGCGTACCTGTATTCATTTCCATTAGTACGTATGGCTCCCGGTGATATCCGCGAGAAAGCTTACCAGAGGCAGCTGTTCAGTTGCGGAAATACCACGCCTGTTCGGAGGCCTGCCAACCAGATTGGTGAAATGTGATCCGCCACGGCTATGGCTGCTGCATGCTGTACGCGGGCGCTGTGGTCGCGAAGGACGTAACGCCTCATTCGCCCCATCAAGACGAACGCACATCCGTTGTGGACTGGTGCCCCACCGGCTTTCAAGGGTGGGATAACTCCAACCCCTACGTCGTGCCGGCGGCGATCTGGCCAAGGTGCAGCGAGCGTGTGCAGTGTCCACACGACTGACGGGAGGCGTGGGCCCGCTGACCCACAAGTTCGAACCTGAATGTAGCCCAAGCGAGCTTCGTGCACTGGTATGCTGGGAGAGGGCATGGTTAGGAAGGAGAGTTTCCGAGGCCCGCGAGGATTTTGGCAGCCCTGGAGAAAGGACTACGAGGAAGTTGGCATGGACTCCGTGGAAGGGGAGGGTGAAGGAGCAGAAGAATACTAAAGATTTGATGATTTACATTTATATTATCTTTGAGGCAATAAAGTTTGGAAATGTGTTTATGAACTTTTTACATCTTTCTTCAATTTGGGGATGATGGAAATTATTTAAAACTCGTACTTCATTTTTAATTTTGTCTCAAAAACAACGCATTATATATTATTAAATTTATTGTTGAAATAGAGTAATTTGAACTCATTTTTAATTTTGTCTCAAAAACAACGCATATATTATTAAATTTATTGTTGAAATAGAGTAATTTGAACTCATAAATTCGCCAACTGTCCCGTTTTTATTCAAACCCCGAATTTTCGAAAATTTGCAAATGTTTTGAGAACTTCTCTTGTCCCTTAATTCCATATTAAAGCTAGAGATTTAATTCTTAATGCAATATATTGTTAAATAATAACCAATGAAGAATTTCCTTTTCAACTTTTCCAAAATATTAGTTATTTGGAATAATTTTGAATCAAAGTGTGTAAAGTTTTCAAAAAGCCTTCAAAGGTTTTCTTAAAGATTTTCGTGCCGATAGAGCACAATCCACTGAATCACGTCTCGTGAGCGCCATTGTGATTCAAATGAGTTTTCAATGTTAGATATGCATTTTTATGGAACACTTCTTACTACGTTCTATTTAAAATAAAAAAATTGCTGCAACGCAGTATTTTTTATGTAGTTAGTGGATTTTCGGGAAATTATTTGTATAATTATGAGAGTGAAAGGCGGAGTATTCGAAGCTAAATAGGTCTAGAATATTGTTATTTGATAAAAGAATTGATATTGTTGAACGTTACGCAAATATAATGATTTATAGTTGAAAAGCTCATGGTGAAATGATAAAGTGCAAGTACAGTGGAGTTAATGTTCGAGAAAATACCGAACTCGTTCTGATAAAAGGTTAAATGGAGATACTAAAGGAAAGTGGAAGGTTTGTAGTAATTTGTAATGTATACCTAAATGTAAATTGATGTAATTGAAAATACAAAGAGTAAATCCAACACGGTTCCTTAATCGGAACCGGTGACGATAAAATAAAAAATAAATGCCCACTTACAGAATACTATGTTCATTTGACGAACAGTTGTCTTTATCACGTGTGGCTTCTTTGTATCTAATGGCAAGGGCGTAGGCCACCTTCACATGGCGGCGCCACCGACAAGCGTCGGGTGCCTTCGCACGTCGAAATGGTTTATTTCTCACTTCGACTGCAATGTGCTTGCTTTATTGACGTTAAAATCAGTTCATTAGGGTGCAGGGCCGGATTTACCTACAAACAAAACAATCAGTTGCTTGGGGGCCCCCGTCCATGAGGGGCCACGCGCTTCGGGAAAATATGAGTAACAAAGTTTGTAACACAAAATATATTTAATAAATGTAATATTTGTAAAATTTGATATAAAAATTATTAGTTTTCATTTGTATTTGTACAGAAAAATACGTATATTAAAATAAGTTGTTTTTTAATAAAGATGGCGTTATTTTTGTAGCCGGACACGATTTTGTGCTTGGAGGGGCTGCAACACTTAAAGCGGGCCTTTTAGGGCAACAAGGAGAACGTCGTAGTGTTCAATGTTCTGCGTCTTCCAAAATCGTGACAATTTTGAAGAGTTTCTCCTTGGCTTGGACACTAATCAAATAATACAAGTCGGAGACTCGCATGTCTTTCGTAGGTGGAATAGGATGGTCGAGTAATCAGGACAGAATTTCATTTTTACGAACATTTTTATTTGTAACAAATGTTTATAATCATTTTGTAACAACTTCACATTCCTGGCTGTAAATGACTTTCGGAGATTGCGACAGGTGTAGGTGGCTCAGGGCATCAACTAATGTTACTGCAGCTCCTATGATCGGGATGTTCAGGGGTTCGAGTACTGATAGGATTTCGACACTAGCTAGACCGAATTCAGCCGCTGTCTGGAGTAGAACTAACAGACAGCTGCTCTGATCGGTAGTTTTCCGTAGTTTCCATGATTATCACCAGGCAAATGCCAGAGCAGTTCCCTAACAATCAGGCCACGACCGCGCGCGATCTTTTCTTCCGTATCCTATCCACATCCCTTAGGGCCCCTTCATGCACACACACATAGACACAGCAGCGCGCTTCTGAACACCGCGGCTGGTAGCAAAACATAGGTTTACATGCGTTTAACCTTTTTTTGTTTTTTTTTGTTGTTTTTTTTTTGTTCGTCGTCGGCGAACCTGGCGAAGAGCCTTGCCGCATATCGGAAGCGCGCGGCTGTGTCCGCGTCGGAAGGGCCCTTACATACACTTCGAGCGCTTCACTACACACACACCGGGAGCCAAGAGCTTGAGCCGGCCGGGGCGTGTTCTGCTGGTGGGAGTGGGAAATCCCCGCCTGTCCACGTGAAGGTCGGCACCGGATCTCACCTCCCACGACAAAAACATGCACTACACTTACGCAACTAATGACCAAATTAGTTGACACACTCGGAAACACTAATCAACTAAGCAGTCAATAAACGAGTGGGAAAGAGGCGCGCTCCAGAACTCCGATAAATGCAAGGAACGAACGTCGACCGGTCGTCTCTGTACCCTAGACCTTCTGCGGCTTCGCGTAAATAATTACACTGTATCGGTACAACTGCACCCTGCCCGCCGGACACTCCGCCTCGACTGACTTCCTCCAAACTTAGGAACATTCCCAATAAGTAAGCCATGAGATCGAACCGAACAATTATATTTCTCTCCGCAAAGCAATCGCCTCTCGCTACGTCAAAAGTATAAACACGCGCATTCCCTCATACTTTCAACCAATCATAACACGTGTCAAAAGAAAGATAATTTCTCGTTGAGATGAATTGTACTATCACGTTATACAATAATAGTTTACATCTTTTTTTTTATTACTTTAATTTAATAAAGTTTTCTCTTCACGTAATAATTTATAGACACGCGGTTATTTGTTTCTGGAAGTTTAAGAATAACGAATTGAGTACCCGTGCATCCGATCCCTAAATATATTGAAGTGTAATTTTAAACAACAAAAAAAGAACTCGGTTTTCGTTTAAGCTCTATGCACTCGATTTAACACGACTTGCGGTTTACTATCAGCACACGAGATATCTGACATTCCGCCAGGGCGATGTGCGGGAGGCTGGGCATAGTAACGCAACATAAATTTGCAATAATGGTCATTCGGCTTCTATTATTAGGCATACTTGAAACATTTCTGCTAATTGGAGGCGAATGTAGAAAGGATTTTGCTTGGTCCACTGATTCGCATCTCTTCGACAGCTGAAAAAAATGAAAGTGACAGTCACTCTCTGTGAAACAGTTGAGCTGAGCACGCCCGTGGTTTGCATTGCACAGTTGGAAGGTACTCGTTTCCCTTGCGTTAACGTTTAATCATAATAACTATTCTTTACCATGTCTGAGACTTCATGAATTTTCGTTTTACATCGCTAGGTAGTCGTATTGTTACTTCGTAACTGCATTTCAGGCAAATAACTCTTTGAAAATGCCCTCTTTGCCGATAATGTACTTTTTACGTTGCTAGTACTTAGCTCGTACCGTATAAAATACGTAAAATTATTCTGCAATATTTTATTATTATTCAGGTAGTATGCCTAATGTAATTTAGATTAGTAAGTTGTAATAACATATGATACTGGACTTAAAAATATCTGAAATTTTAAATCAAAGAAATGTACTTGACACAGTAACGTAAACAAATATTCTTTTTGAAGACACTGAATCATTTTCTGTAATAGCAATGATTTAGCTTAACCACAAAAAATGAATACTTAAAAAAAATATTTTAAAAAAAATACTATATTGTGATGTTATAATTGTCATTGCTGATTATTATCAAAATGTAGACCAAACTCATTAATTCCAAACATTGCAATTTTAAATTTACTGTTGATTCTCAAAACATATTTTTCAGTGGATGTTTCTATTGTTCAAGTTTCAAGCAATATCGCCATGACATAATTCAAAGTTTTCTACAAATATTTTGCACTGCATTATAATAATAAACATTTGTAAATTTTATACTTCATATTTATTGTAATATTTCAAGATTTCACATGTATATTATATAGTATATTTTAGGTATTTTTCCTGCATAGAAATCCGGACCTTAGTCATAAGGTTCTTCATTCTTTAAAATGTTTTGTGTCTGATATTTGTGTCTGATTTTTGCTCTTTTTGGATTTAAAATTCATTGTTTAATTATCTCACTGATTGAATGTAATAAATTATCTTTATCAATTTTTTTTTCTGTTCCTGAAAAAAATTTAAAAATGTATAAAAAATTATCACGGTCGTATTTTTTGACAATAAATTACAATGCAGCCAAAATATTTCCGTTATTGTTATCTCTAAAATTAAGTGTTGATCTGAAATAACATTCATCTCATAACAGCTTGATATTACCATAACATTAAGGGAACAATGTGGCCTTCTTTCCAGAATTATCTCATTTACACACTGACACTCATTACAGCTTGGATATGGAAATGAATTCAAGAATCAGGTCTCTCACTTGGAATAACCATGATAATATGGTTAAAAAACAATTAGAGATGTTTATGAAAAGCTCTGTTTTAGCTGATTGCACATTATCAGCCGAAGGGCAGCATTTGAAAACTCATAAAATAATCTTGGCAGCTTGCAGCCACTATTTTGAGGTATGTATATTTATAATAATTTATTACAAGTTTCTATTTACTTAATTGGTGGGGAGAAAAATCAAAATTGGAGAGAATAATAGCCAATGGATGTGATTCATCAGGTCTGACCAACCTGCAGGGCTCATGTGGCCCAGAAATAAAATTGGATGGCTCAACAAACAATTTATATCATGCATATAAACACTTATTTTTCATTGTATGAATCCAAAAATATTAAATTTAAAAAATTAACAAATTGACAATTAATATTAAAAAAGTCCTTTTGAATAACATCTGCGAAACATTTCAACCATTCCCAGAAAGCACAAAGGGTACATGTGCTTTTGATCTACATATACTTGTGAAACCTTTTTCTGAAAGGTGAAATTGACAAAGAATTTATCAAGTGCTTTATTAACTGATTACAATTTAGAAAACCAGGAAAGATGTTACTTAATAGCACTTTCCTTATAATATTTAAAAAATTATGTGAAAGAAGGGGAAATAAATATCTCCTTAATTAAGACTCAGAAGTTAATTATATTGAAAGGTCAATAAAGTTTTATTCACTTTGTCTTTTTATTACTATTTTAAAATGCAACCCTACATTAAATGTTGAAACTTGTTGTACCAAACAAGAGTAATTACTAAATAATAAAATATACAGCAATAAAACACATTGTTTTATATTTTTATTATAAATATATTTCTTCAAATAATTAAAGCAAAGCAAAATATTTCAAACTGAAAAACAATGAAGTTATTCTATATGTTTACAAGCTGAATTACAAGTAGCTCCATGGCTTCTTTTACGTGTAACAACCCCAGGGCAACAGCATCTGTTGACAATTTAAATAGAGGATGAGTGCATACAGGATATTAGATCTGTATTATATTTTAAATGGCGCATATATTGATCAGAACAAGGAAACAACGAGACTAATAAATATGCCAAATATTTATGTTTGAATTATGTAATTATTTAAAAAATACCATTGTATAGTACCATATCTGCAGTATATACAATACAATAGTAAATATTTTTATTATTTAACAAAAATCTATGATGCCCCCCCCCCTCCCCCCCACAATGTTCGGCTGCATTCACCGCTGCATGTAATCTCAGTGTATAATTCTGGTGAGAGAGATAAAACTTCAAATTATCAACCAAAATCGCCGATATCAAATTTTGGAAAAAAATACGTATGATTTAATACAACTTCATACATAAAGAAAACAATAAACTCAATGCAGTTTGGTTTTCATAGAAGCCCAAACACCGAAGATACTATTAAACATATAACAAATTCAATTTGTGATGCAATTGATAATAGTGAGCCCTGTGTATCTAATTATTTGGATCTGGCAAAAGCATTTGATATTGTTAACCAAATGTTATTGTTGATAAAATTGTATAGACTGGAATTAGAGAAGTGGCATGTTATGAATTTGCTATTATACAGCTGGGCACAGCAAACACACACGTTAGGGGATGATCCTGACTTCTGACATTACTATCCTCTTGTACCAGAGGTTCTTCCAGGAAAGTTAGGCATGCAAGGCTCTGTTAATTCAAAGAATTAAATGCTAGGTCGCTTTCATATCTGCCTTCACACTAGAAGAAATGAAACAAATAGAGCACGCAGCTGTGGTATGCTGAATCGGATGCCATGGTATATTTTATGTGATTCTCAGAACCCCTCCACTCTGTGATTTCTTTGAGGATTGAAGATCAGGCAGAGTGCAAATTCCGTAAATAGTTTTGTCAGTTTTATTTTCGTCTGTGGAAAATTTGAGGAACTGTTTTATTTGAATTTTCCTGAATGTGGTTTCTTAAAGAGTAAATTAAGAAAATTACTGTTAAAGGGGGAGTCGGGGAGAGAGGTGGTCTGTTAATATGGGGTAAGATTTTCATATAACGTATGGGTTTCAGTATCTATTCCAAGAAAAAATTGTCATTGAGAAGGAAAGTTGTTTTAAAAGGGTGATCTTTCAGAAAGATTTCACTATATATTTTCTCAACTACCAAGTGTATGGAAGCATCATTGTAAGTCATTTATATAGGACATATCCAAAACTGTAGTAGGAAGGGTAAGATATATGGTTAGAATATAACATTTGAAAAATGTGGCAGTAAAAGAAAACTTTTTTGTGTTGATGACTCTTCAATTAATTTTTTAAATAACTATTAACAAACAAACTGTTTGTTAATAGTTGTTTGTTTTTTAATTAAAGACATTTAGTTTTATATGATAACTTGAATAGTGTGAGATGCACATATTCAGAGGCATGTCTTTAGTATGAAAACCTGGCACGTGTCATGGGTGCCACCCACAAGGTACTATTTAGAGTCCTAAAACAAATAACAACCCTAATTTGAAGTATCCTTGAAGGAGCACAAATTATATGGGTGCCTCAACACATAGATACATCTCTGCACATAATGAAGCTGTTTCGAAACTATATCTATGTAAAACGACAATTGGAGAGGACTCCAATTCTCACATTATTCAAGTTATTGTAAATATTTTATTCTAGTTTTAAAATTGGTACATTCTAATTCATATTAATACAGGCCTGATGATGGCTAAAAACACTTAGCCAGAAGGTTGCCGACTTATAATGAATTAAAAACAGAATAAATCACTTTTGTATAACACTGAATGTCTTTAATTAGAAAGAACTTGTTTGTTTATTAATAGTTAGTAGTTGGTAAATTGTACTGAACTTATAAAAAACAATTCCTATCTAGGAAAAGATATTCTGTAGACAAATTTACTGAATCAATATTGACTTGATTACCTCTATACATGTGTTTTGCATTTAGTGAGTTTCACTTGTATACAAACAACATAATTATCACAGAGATACTTAGTAAATTCAGGAACCAAATGTTATTTATTTTCATTTCTCAAGGACGTTTGAAATTATAATTTCTTTTGATAAAGCAGAGGTGTGATTTGGAAATTCAATATTTCACTAATATGTGCATTCATTTCTATTGTTTTCAGACATTATTTAGACAAGATAATATGAATAATTTTGTAATTGTTCTGAAAGATGTGAAGTTATGTAATTTGAAAGCATTGTTGCATTTCATGTACTGTGGTGAAGTAGTGGTCTCACAAGACCATCTTAAAGACTTCATAGATACTGCAAAATCCTTACAGGTCAGGGGATTGGAAGATGAGTACAAAAAATTTGTAAGTATCCTGAAGTAGTAAAAGATACGATAAAATTCAGTGATAGTGCCAAATTTAGTTATTTTATTTGTGAGTGGAATGTTTTATTTAGGATCTAAGAAGAACACCTAAAAAATCAAGATTGGATATAATCAGCACAACCCATGATATAACATCTATGGTACAGATGAAAACTAACTATTCTGATTTGAGTGACATTGATGAAACTACTTTGACAGTGGGCATCAGTAGACTGAGTGTGAATTCTGACAACTATTCTCCCTTTCACATCCAAAACACTACAATTCCAATTCATTCCTTTCCTACTCTTACAACATTTGATTTAAATAATATAAAATTTAGTCAGATATGTGTACCTGAAATTAAATCTGAGGTCCAATGTGAATCTCGAATCCAAAAGCCTGTAAATAAGAACATGGTTCAGTCGCCAACTTCAGACCTATTAGAAAAGATCACGATGCTGGACAACAATATTGAAATTACAAAGGAGATACCAAAAGACTTAAAAATTCAGCAAACAACCCTGTCAAGTGGTAAGTATATTGTATATTTTGACTAAAGTAAAAGACTTTAATGCAGCAGAGATGAATTCAATAGTACCCTATTATAAAGGCAGCTCTACATATTCAGCATTCACTGAACGAGCTATTGCTTGACCAATACCAGACAGTTGATGTGTTCTGTCAAATATTCTGAACCATTGATGTGTCCAAAAGATTGACACACAATGGATAGGGTGACCACTGAATGTTCGTCACTTCGTGAATAACAAGCAACTAATCCACACTATTTGTGATTTGGCACGAGATTGCTCACTACCGAATAAGGAATATGTGGAGCTGCCTTACGAGATGTCTGAGGACAGAATTTTGTCTTTAGTATGCAGGAAAGTGGGAATAGTTAACGAAGAATAAATATCTGCACCAAAGTTTATTTATATTTTTACTGTCCTTCAATTGATAGATTATGTCAGATTTTTTCTGATGTTGGTAATCACAAAAAAATGTATCTCTAAATTGAGACATTGTCTTTCACTCGAACATAACACTGGTCTCCAGATGGTCAACACAATTACTACCGCAATGATGAAAAATTCAATACAATGTAGGTAGAGTGTTGAAATGACGAGTTCTAGTTGAGAATAGCAAGCTGTCCCTTGTTTGCACATGCCTGAACATGGCAATGTTAGCATGAATGAGGTTTTAAGATACTAAACATTTTAGAGCCTTCACCAAAACAAAAATATATGAAGAAAGTGGTAACAGGTTTTCACCTTTCACAGATTATTTTCTATATCGAAGAAGTAAAAGTACATACAATATGTGAAATATGGGGTCCATATGGAGGTGAGTTATTTTAGGAAGGTGTATTTGCAGACTGAAATTCCATCTTCTGCTCCCTTTGTCAAATGCATTTGAGAGTAATCTGAATGTTGAATGGGAAAATCCTTTGTTTTGACTTCTGATTTACTTGAATGGGAAAAAACTCCTATGGAACCAATACTTTTTTGCACTGCAAATTTGAAATTAATCTTTCAATTTTTGTAGGTAATTTTTCCTGATGCTTGTAGGATATTGTCAAAATTTTGGCTTTCTTTTATTTTGGCAAAAGGCTTTCTTTTATTTTTTTTGTTTTAATATGCATGGTAATGAATATGGTGCAGTTCTGATTGTCATTAAAAATTCTGAAATTACAAAAATGGCAAAAAATGTTTTCCACACACATCTACAAGTATGCTCTAAAAGTAATTTCTTTTTAATGAAATCATTTTCTCAATATTAAACCTTTAAATAACATTATGTGCACTTTTCTTTAAAATATTGGTCATTTTTGCATAATTTTGAGTGACATCCTGTGTTCAATTTTTCCCCGTGAATGTGTCCTACAACTTCAACAGTGAAAATAAATATTTATTTTTTACACATTTTCTAATATTAGGTCTGTGAATCATTTTATTTACAATTTTTTTGTTGAAAATATTGGTAGATTTGTGTAATTTTGAGTTACATTATTTGAATTTCTCAAGAAGTAGCTGAACTGATGGGATGTCATAGAAGGTGCAATATTATATTATTAGGTACAATTACCAATAATACAAGAAAGTATGTGTTGTTGTAGCACTTCTACCACTAATTTTAAGTCTTGTGCTCTGGTGGTCACTATTACGAGTTATAATCATAGTATGAATGTCCATTCAAATAAAAAAGTAATTGTATGGTCATTAAATTTCATTGTGTAAAGAACTGAATTCAATTAATTTACTTCTAATTTTTCTTCCAGAACCTGAAACTTGTGAGAAGCAGCATCACAAATCTGTTAAGACACAGGAAAGGAACACATCAAAACCAAACACAAGAAAACACAAGAAAGCAAGAGATGTGCCCATAGAAAGAAAGCTCCTTGACTTGACTACTTCAGTGAATGCTAATAATAATAAAAATGATGATAATAGTGTGTCATCTTCTTTGTCACAGAGTCAAACCCAAACTACCTGCAGACGCTCTAGCTGCAACAGAGCATCTTGTAAACCTGAGAAACTGAATATTCATGAGAAGATACACAAAGGCAGATATGGAAATCTCTTCTGTGAAAATTGTAAGAAAACATTCTTACCAACACCCAACTTCAAAAATCACCTTTGCTCAACTTACGAGAGTAAGCAGAGTTACTTTAGCATCCATGAACAAGAGACATTCAAGAGACCAACAAACAAATCTCACCAGTATGTACGTAGAGGTATGCAGCCCTTCTTTTGTCAGTTCTGCCCTACAGAATTCAGAAACATTAGTCAGTTGCAAAGTCATATTAATGAACATAGAAGATTAAAACAAAGAAATTCCATGCCATTTGTGTGTCAGTACTGTCAAAGATCATTCATGAATATTAAACATTTGCAATATCACCTTAATAAACACAAAAGAAAGAGGTTTTTGTTCCAAAAATGGGCTATGGAACACGGGCAAAGTAATTTACCCTTTCTCAACCATGATCCAGTATTTGAGTGCTCAATTTGTAGAAAAGCATTCACCAAAAAAGTGTATCTATATGAGCATCAATATTTTCATGATAGAAAATGACCTTTTGTCAGTTACGAGTGAAGAATACACAAAAGTATTAGTGAGAGTTTGACCTCTGTGTATTAGGTGTATTAGACCTATTCTTCCTTAGTTTTACATTCAGTTCTTTTTGTTTGTTTTTTTGTGTTATATGTAAGGTTAAAAATTTTATTTGTTGACAAGACTTAAGAGCTGAGGATTTTGTAAAAATGTTATTTTATTTTTATTTGTTGTCATTTATTATATCATGGACCATTAATGTACATGAATACAAACTGTGGTCATATTTTCAGTTAAAAGAAATAAAATAGAAAGCTGAAAATAAATCAGTACCCTCAGGATTTAGGGTAAAGAAACTTTAAGGAATTTCATCCTCTTTGATCATTGTATGTAGATGAATAATAAATTATGAAGTATTCGGAAAACATGTGAATATCAGATTTAGGGATCCAACCTTACTGCCAAGAAAAGGCATTTAAGTTCCACCTTTTAGTTAATAATTAATGATTATGAATGAATGAATGATCTGTAGATCTGTCTTTATTGTAACTTAAGTTATCAAGAGGCTTTTAAATATTTTGTTTTTCTTCTATGGTTGGCTAATATTATGGGAAAATATTTGTGGTGCCGGTAATAACACAAATTAATGGAAAGTTTTTAAAGTTTGCCTAGAATGTGTGGGATAGCATTCACACTACGGAAGAATGTATATTATGTGCATTGTTTATGTACTTAGAGACGATGTTTATTTTTTTGAATTTGTATGTATTCAGATATTATGGAATTGAACTGTTGCTCATGTGTGCCACAAAACAGTTTTGTGATGTTGGTTCTTTTATGTTTAATTTAATTAGCGGTTGATCAGTAACAGATCATTATTTTAATATTGAATTTATGTGCAAGGACTCTTAAGAACTCCCAATGCCAAATAAAGTTTTGTCTGAATGCATTCTATATATATTAGACCATTCATTACAAAGCACAATGCATTCAAACAAAGCACAATTAAAATAAATTACAAGTGTGAATAAGCCAAAATTTAAAGTCAAAAATATACCTAGGTTCCAGTACCATTACCTAATTTTGAATTTTGGACTGTTGGAAGAATAAAAAAACGATACATATGTTTATTTTCAAGAAAAATATAATTATGTACTAAAGGAACGTCATCCTTCATGGAAGTGCATTTTACCATTCAAAATATTATTTAACTAGAGTAATTTTCCTTTTATTTCTCCAAACGTGATCAGTTTAGTTAGGTATTGTAAGGAATTTTGAATTTTTCGGTAATGTCAGCGGCGACTGGGGACAAAAGTTCGTCAATTAATTCAAGTGTGGTGTGTTGGTCAAGTTGTGTCTGTCAACAAATCCAGGTGACCATGAAGTCCTCAATGTACAAATTGATGGAGAGGGGGGAGAACCCCAGTGTACCCTTTGTGCTGCCGAAAATATGCAAAGCTGCTGAATCGACATCTCTCAGTTCGATGTCCCCTGCAGGAAAAGTAGCAATTTCTTCTCGCCAGGGTAACAATTAATCCTCAAAGGTGTTTATGATTTCCTAACATGTTAACATAAAGAAAATTGGATAAAACTCGAGAGAATTCTTAGGATTTATTCACACTGTATTACATAAGCGAAAATAGTCTTTGTTCATTAATTCTTTGAAGATTGAAATATCCCCCTCAGGAGCAAAGGGTAGAAAATATGAAAAATAATAGTCGGCTGTGTTCTCGGGAAAGAACACTTGGCTCTCTAATGATAGCGCAGATCGGACCGGCGAGAGCCATCTCCTGTTCTCCGGAGCGCTGTGCAGGGCTTCTATCGTGCACGGTGTCAAATTCGCCTACGGAACTACTTGGATGACCGAGATGAGCCGCGTCACAATGGGTCAAGGCTCAGAAGGCCCCAACATGATGACTGAAACGTCAGCTCGACCTTCTGTGACGCGGCTCGTCCCGGACAGCCAAGTGCAAATTGACTCCGGCAGCGAACGCTTACGCCAAATTCATATACGTCTCCAAGCGCTGTTCCTGCTGGCCGCGTCTGTGACGCGGCCTGGATAATGGGAAAGAACACATACCAGGTCACGGTGCTTATCGACAGGACGTCGTGGGTGATTTTACGCGGTCTATACTGGTTCAGTAAATAAAAAAATTATACAAAACAAAATATAAGAAAATTGTGGAAATATAAAAGGCACTTACATGCTCGAATAGGCAATTATCTCTAAAACAGGCATGTTAGCACTATAAATGCCTCGCGAAAGCCGTTTTGTGAGAACATGGATAATGGGGAAAGTTCCCTAAAATTACATTGAAAGAAATAAAATTGTCAAATATGGCGTTGTTTAAATTAATATCCTAGTTCCTACATCACTGAGTGATATAATTTACAGAAATATTTGTTAATTAGAAAAACGAATAAGGAGGTAGCAGGATTGATTACTACCCTCACTAAAACTAATTTGTCGAAATGAAGGAACATACATTGACTTTGTTACCATTCAGTACAGTCGATTCCGACAGTATGAACATAGAACAAGAGCATAGTATGGAGGAATATGTTAATTTTTCTAGATCAAACAATGGCCATGCCAAATAATGAACCCCGCATGGTTTGAAATTGTCGGGTTTTGCTACAGGCAACTCTTTGGGTTGAAGATCGTCATTTGTTTTTTCCGACGTGGTGTCAACCTCTCATTTCTAAATTGCGACTATCACTGACTTCAGTGAGCTTGTTGATTATTATTTTTTCTTGTGCTAGCGTTGTGTAATTAATGTAACAATTATTTTCTATTGAAGTAATTTTTTGGTTAATTACTTTGCAGGACAGAACGAGAAGGAAAAACTAGAAATTACATTGCAATGTTGGTTACTCTTGTCTCGCTGTCGGGGAAAGAGAAATGTTATGTTTCAAATTTGTTTACTGTTCGTAGACGTGCAGGTGAGTGGCCATAGTTTTGTTGTTTGTTTTGGTTTGTTTAGGGTATTAGGTCCTAGTGATTTCAATTTTATGTTTTGATTGTTTGACATATTATTTTTGTGTAATTGGACATAGTTAAAATGTATTTAGTAAAATTTCCATTTTCAACTAGTAGGATATGCATCGAAATTCTTGAATTTGTGCTTTGACATGCAATATAAAAAAAAGCTAGTATTATTGAAAAGCTAGGTAGATTATATTCATTTTACTGTTGTGGATGTGTGGGTAAAATATTTAGTTCTGTGGATTGGATCCATTGTTATTCCTAATGTTTATTTTGTGTAAATATGAATAGTATAATTGATTATCAAAGTAGTATATTTCCTGACAGTAGTGTTTTCAATTCTTTTCAATTTATTAGTCACTCAATTTACAAAGCATTGTAGTCAGTTCACACAGCCAAAGTCACTTTCAATCCAAGTTTACTTGCATGTAATTTTACATGACATGAACTGCTAAAAATTACTCTTGTCAGTCTAAACAGGCCATTACCTCTAGTAAATCCATCCTTTATGTTGCATGTAAACTTCTTCCCTTTGTCTTGATGGATATTTTTCATCAGTTTTGGTAACCTCCACTTGTGTGCTCTATGTGAAGGTAAGGAAAGAAGGAACGGAAATTTTGTTGGAAAGGGACTTCTACTGTGCAAATGAGGGTGCAAATAATATGCCTTTTCTTCACTATCTCAAACTTCAATGCTCTTGATCAGTATATTGACAGATTTCAAATTCTGTGAAGAAGACAGAAGAAGAATTCTTCTGAAGAAGCTTTGTGTTGTTGTTTGCAGCATCTCTTATACTTCTTCCACAACCATGTAATCAACAAAATTTTGGGTCCATGCAGGCACTCATTTGTGGAATCCAAAAAGTCCCTTTCTACACCTAAGACTATATGGTGGATGCTTCAGCAGCAAAAAAATAAGATCTTGAATGTACTAAATTCCTCATTCTTGTGTTTCGGACTGCTTGTCATTTGACATGTTACCCAATGAGGGTAGACTGTGATAATTCTATTTGGTTTTTTGTGTGTGTTTTCTTTATTAATTTCTTTATTTCAAATGTTGAGCAATGACCAATATTCAGTTCCTTCATGATATATATTAAATTCTTAAATGATCAATGTGAACAATTTAACATGTTGTTCCTGTTATTCTTTGAAGTGGATGACCCATCGCAGAGAAATATAAAATCATTTTTAAAACCCTTTATCCTCTCCTAACCTTGATGAAGATAATATGTTCACAACTGCTCAAGCTTTCTGCAAACAACCTCCATGAGATATTGCTTTCCTCAAAGACAATATTCACATCTCTCCTCAAATTTCTTTCAATAAATTTAATACTTCAAGAAATTCTGAAGTTATGTCAGGTAGGACTTGAAGCAAAAAAAATAAAATCCTTTACTTTTTGACTTATCCTTCGAATGCCCCAATATTAATTGCCTTGTTAAAATATCCTCTCCAATGTTATTTTTATTGATTTGTATTTCTGATTCTGTCATGTTTTGCTGAATGACATGAGTATTCCATTTTCAAAGTCAAAAAACAAATTTTTGAAAGTATTCTTGTGATACTAAATTTCTGTTGTGTTTAAAACCATGCTTTCAAAGATTGATGTATGAATCTGGTTCTTCGTTCCCTTTTTAAATTATTTTATCCTATAACATCAGTCTTAGAGTTGATATTGCATGTTTTTGTTTCTTTTAAAAGTATTTAAATTCCTGTATTGCTTCTTTCATGATTTCTAGTTGGCTTATTTACTTATGTTTGTCACAATATTTAATCACTCCTTCATTTTTAATAATTAAATCTTGTATTTGTCTTCCCATCACTGTAATCAAATGATTACATATCGCCACTGATGTTAAAAGTGGTATGTGAAACTCTAATTTGAGAACAAGTACATAAATGAAATGTTAAAATTATAACGAATACAAAGATACAGTTACAACCAGAATCGTAAATAAAAAAACAAATTTAAAAGAACAGTAGGTATTTTTGCTAGTGTACCCTCTGCTTTTATGCTAGCAGTGCAGGAGAATACATTTGATTCTTAAAAATTAAATAAGTGGTTGATGGCTTAGGAGTAAAAAAAATGGAAATTTTAAAAGGAAAAAAATGTGTAATGCGACAATGTGTTTGTTATTAAAAATTAAATTATTAAAGTTAATAAAGAATAATAAAGTAAAGTAAATCTACTTTATCCTTATAATATATTAATGTAAGAGGAATAGATGGAGCAAAAGAATTGTGGCAGTTACTAAAAAGAAGATATGAAGGTATAAATAGTAATTAAAAAAAATCAATTGAAAATAGCATTGGCAAAAATAAAAAAGCTACCAAGATCATTGAGTGAAGAATATTTAACATATATTTAAATATTAGTAAATGATTGAAAAGAAGGGAATGAAGTCATCGGATACATAAGAGGAGGACTATCCCAAGAAAATAGTGAAGTAATGGCAGGAATGAAGACATTGTATCTTATGAAACTTTATGAGAAATGTTAATTAATTTTAAACATCACCAAGATATTGACAGATGAAAAAATTACTATCTTGCTTTCAAATTTGAAGAAAGTAAAATAAAGAAATGTTACTGCTACTGTATGGTTGGTTTGCAGAACACAGAAATATTACGTATAATAATAAGTAATAATAAATACTTGTACAAATTATTTCAAGGAAAATAATAAGCTGCCTGTTACTAATGTTGAAGAGAAACTGTTGTAAGCTTGCTCACGTCATATGCTCCAAGATCATACTATTTAGTAGCAATATTCAGAAGTAATTGAATATCAATGTAAAATGGAAGTAATTGATAAATCGATATCAGAAGAATATAGAAATGTATAGTCTACTTTGAGAGGTGACGTTCATGTACTTAATCAAGTTAAAAATATGGAACAACATTACATTTAAAAATATTTTGTTAGTGTCAGGAGTAACATACAATCTCATATCAAACCAAATTTGGTAAAACACTACAAGAAAATAATATTAAATAAATGTGGTGTTAGAGTTTATGACTAAGATACAAATGCACTCTTTATACATGGGAGATTCAGAAAAAAAAAAATTAATTACTAATTTACAAAAGAGACAAAACTACATTAATGACAGGCAACAGATATGTTAACAAACTAAAGTTGAAGCTAAAGAAATTTGGCGTAAACAATTAGGAAATATTATTTGTGGAAAATAACAGAATTGTCTATGGACGGGATAATATTACAGCAACAGAAAAAAATGTGTTGCATGCATACAAAGAAAACTAATCGAAACACTATATAGTTACATTTATCAATAAAAAACAGGAAAATTGAAAGAACATAGTTTGATATTTGGGGTACAGTGAGACATCTATCTTCTCTGGTCAAAAGTGCTCATCATATTAAGGCTGGGAATAAGTGATTTCAAGATGTTCATTGGATGACTAGACAGATTCAAGAAATGACATGGCAGTGTGGGGAGAGTGAATAAGTGAATGGCGAAATGTTAATCACTGGAAAGACAAAACTCTCCCGTCTCTCTTGAATGACTATGATATGTGCAACATATAACATAGATGAAATTGATCATTTTTACCATTCATTGCCATTGATCATAAGCATTAAAGTTGAACCATGTGAAGGTGGTGATTATGGTAAAGATTGACCAACTGTTTTACTCTATACTAATGCAGTTACTATAGAGTTACTCTGCTAATACTAAGGTAGTGATGAATTCCAGCCAATCTGCTAAACCTTGAGTGTTTAATAGGGCTGTTACCCTACCTTGTAAGTATTATAGCAACAAGTATACAAGATGACAGAGCTTTTCACGAAATTTCTTTAGGCATTTGATGCAAGGATAGGTGCCATTAACAGAAAAGATATCCTATTTATGGATATATGTCCAGCACATTGTTTGCAGCAGCTGTTTTTGAGGAATATGAAAGTTCATTTCTTTCTAACTAACAGAACTAGCAAGGTATTCCTTGAATCTTGGAATAATCCATAGTTGTAAGGTAAAATATCAAAAGCTGTAGCCTTTGTAGATGAGAAAAATAATAAAATTATCATTTTACAATCTATGCACACGTTACCTGCAGCATGAAACTCTATTTCTGTGGAAACTATTTGAGAGTGTTTCTCTAAGGCAGAATTTACACAGCATAACATTCCTGAAGTGTATAATTGAAGAGAACATTCATGAAAAGGAAAGGAGGCAATTGTACTCTGATTTACTGATCAATTTTCATGAGAATGCTAAAGATATAGATGACGTTAATGCTCAACATTAATGTTGTGTGTTCCAACAAAATGGAAGAAGAGGATGATTGAAAATCTACTTTCAGTGAAGCTGTGGCAAACGTGGAAGTTGTAAGAAAATACTTCCAGACCTTGAAGTGGCCGAAGCTGTATTAGCTAGAGTGAATAATTTAGAGAGAGACTTCTTGTGAACGTCCACTGACCCAGTTAATAACATCTATATAAAATATTAGTTTATGTACTTAAAATATGCATGTTATTATATTGAATAATAATATTGTGCTTTAATTATGTATGATAATAATCAAGCATTTTTTTAAATAAAATTGATAATTCCTGGTTAATTTAACTTGTTTCTTCAAGGAATATCCCCAACCCCCATTTAAGGTAAGAATTTTAGGCCCTCCTGAGGTGACATTAAGTAGAGGTTATAGTGTATATTTTAGTCACAGATGAATTCAACAGGAGTTATTTCACTGAATTTATTAAAGAAAAATCTTAGGTTCTTAAAAAATAGAAGAGTTGGGAGAGAGAGAAGAGAGAACTAAACAGGAGGAAAAGTCAAATATTTAAGGTCAGATAATGACACTAAATTTACAAGTACAAGACTTGTGCATTAGTTTAAAAAGAAAGGTATAAAACAAGAATTCTCCACTACTGCTCTCCCAAAGCAATGGAATTGTGAAATGGAACTAGACAATGGATGTTAAGG